GTGGCTCCGGCGACTTCCCCAAAATATTCAGCAGATCCTTGCATTCGGAGATGCTGATGTCGACATAGATCATATAGCAGAGATAGCCGATAGGATTCAGGAAAGATCCAGAATACCGAGCCCACAAATACAACACACCTCGGCTAATTCCGAAATCGAAGAGTTAAAAAGAATGAATAATATTTTACGCCAAAAGCTGACGAACCTGACTCGGAATGACAGACCACGAAGATGGTCACGAATTAGTTCGAGTGACAGAAACCGATCACGCTCTAGGGAACGATCTGCTCCCACGATATGTTGGTATCACCAGACATACAGCAGAAGAGCTCGGAAATGTAGACTGCCATGCACATTTAAAGCTAATACAATAGGGAAACGATCCCGTCGATCGTCGGTAACTGCTGCAACAACTGACGTAGCTCCCAAAAACAGTCATCTATTTTACATCCAGGACAAGACAACTGGTGCTCAATTCTTAGTCGACACAGGAGCAGAAATAAGTGTTGTGCCACCCGTTAGTAATGAACGACGAAATGTTAATACGGCGTTTACTTTGAAAGCAGCAAACAAATCCGACATAAAAACATACGGAAAGCGAAAAATAACTTTAGATTTCGGTCGAAACATTTCACTTCGATGGGAATTTGTGATAGCAGACGTATCCGTACCTATAATCGGTATTGATTTCCTGAAGAATTTCGACTTATTAGTAGATTCGCGACGAAACCAGCTCTTGAACACAAACCGTACGGTAGTGATAAGAGGAATAATCACTGATAATGAATCTATGAATTTAGTAGTGTCAGGAGACAAAAACGATCCATATAAATCGCTACTAAACGAATACGCTGACCTGACAAAAGTGTCTTACGATAATACCGATCTCAAACATACGGTGCAACATTATATTGCAACGAAAGGTGCACCTTGTAACGCGAGACCACGACGCCTGGACCCGAAAAGGTTAAACGTTGCGAAACAAGAATTTATATGAAAATGTTAAACCAATCAAGGCAATCTGAGTGATAATCACAATGAAATGAAAAAGATTACGTAACTACATCTAATAGGCAAAAGTTCAAGTGGATAATAGGAAAACAGGTGTACTGATAGTAGTAAGAAAATTTGTAAAATATGATAACTAAAGTAGGTCAAGGGTGGGTGAATAGAATTCAAATAATCATGAAAAACGTCAAAAACATTACGTAATAAGCAAATGTGTAAAAATAAAATAAAATAATAAATCAAAAATAATAAAAATAAAAATATGTCAATCATTAGTTACGTCATATCCGGCCACGGAAGAGATAGGGGTGTCACGAATTTCTTCTGAACACATAAATTAGGGTTGAATGTACGTATTCCTATGGCTTCTGCAATGTGTAGGAGACGGGATCGAACTCCGTTGGGAAATGATGGAGGTATACGCTAGATCACCCGAAAAGATCTAGATTTATCTACAATGTGACCACTATCTACCAGGTGTGCTAAGATAGAACTGCGTATTGTTTTTGACTGACCCTTCATATACACCACGACTATATGGCTTGCCTAAAATCCACAAATCGGGTCTTCCTCTGCGCCCGGTCCTTGATATGTACAATTCTCCTTACCACAAAATTGCGAAGTGGTTAGTACGAATTTTAGAGCCTTTACATAAATCAGTTGTGAAAAGAAGTGTAAAAGATGTTTTTGAGTTCACTTCCAAAGTGGAAAGTATGAATGTTAGCAAGAAAATTATGATCTCACTGGATGTGGTTTCGTTGTTCACTAACGTACCACTCCTCGAGACTATTGATTTCATATGCGAGCAAATTAAAGAAAAACAAATCAACATTGGATTGCCCGAAGATTGCCTTAAGGAATTACTCCTAAGATGCACGATGAATGTCCATTTTGTATTCAACAATAATTATTCTAGGCAGATAGACGGTATAGCCATGGGCTCACCTCTAGGCCCGATTCTAGCTGATCTCTTTCTAGCAAAGCTAGAAAATGGACCACTGAACGAAGTTATTCAAAAACTTGATCTATATTGCCGTTATGTCGATGACACATTCATCATTGTAGATCAGGACACCAGGAAAGAAAAACTTTTAGAACAATTCAACAATGTACACCCGGCAATCACGTTCACTGGGGAAGAAGAATATGATGAAAAACTGTCTTTCCTTGACATCACACTAAGTAGGCGAAAGGATGGTCCACTAAGTAGAAGCGTGTATAGGAAAAATCCTAGTGCTTGCCAATACATTCACTTTTGTAGTTTTACACCTATCCGCTACAAAAGAAATTTGGTTAGATGTCTCACTTACAGAGCAAATATGATATGTTCAATGGATACTGTAAGTCAGGAGCTGGAATTCATCAACGGCTCACTAACCGAGATTGGTTATCCAAGCGCATTCTTAAAGAAGTATATGTCTGCCGTAAAAAAAGAAGCCGGTGGTTTCGACTGCCCGGAAGAAGCCTTTGTTTATGAAGCTACAATTCAACGGAGATGTGGCCTGCGATACTCTGCAGGATAGATTAAGAAGAGTAATCAACAGAACATTCAACGCTGCAAAACTTGCATTGACTTTCTCCAGTCGACCTGCGATGTCTACTCAAACGAAAGATAAGTTACCTGAGCTGGCCTCCTCTATGTGCATTTACAAATTCAGCTGCTCCTGTGGAGATAGCTATATCGGGCGTACTTCCAGGCAACTTAACCAACGAATGAGTGAACATCTCCCAGCATGGTTTACGAAGGGTCAGTCAAAAACAATACGCAGTTCTATCTTAGCACACCTGGTAGATAGTGGTCACATTGTAGATAAATCTAGATCTTTTCGGGTGATCTAGCGTATACCTCCATCATTTCCCAACGGAGTTCGATCCCGTCTCCTACACATTGCAAAATAATAATGGTTGTGAAAAATGTATAAGCGTCAAGATGAAAGAAATTGTTCTTTAGGATGAGTAGTACAAATTACTATTGAATCGTAATATCAAAGCCATGAAGAAGCATTTTATCCAATTAGCATTGAATAAAACCTCCGCTGAAGAAATATCTGAACAATTCAGAATCATATGCAGCGATTCTCTGACAAGATATTTAGTTATATGTGGCTACTGTATTTATTATGCTTCCTGAAACTTCCAAATGCCCCAGATCATGATTTGCCCTCATTTTCCTGTTCTCAAACTAACTTTTGAGTAAAAAAAATTTTTTTCGTACCTGACACTTTTTTTTATGTTCAAGTTGGTCATGAAAAAGTCGAACAGTAGTCAACCCCCCAAACTGCCTTGACAAGCTATGTTTTTTAATGTTGGTGTACGCTGGAAGAAAGCTAAGGGCGGCCAGACCAAAACATGGCAGAAATCCATGAAATTAATTACTGACAAGTGGACTAAGTCACATTGGTAGGTGTAGACGACTACCTGGTTGCGGTCCACAAGACAATAGTAATCGATGGTTAGAGATTTTGAATGACATGACTCGAAATAACACCGGTGCATCCATTATTTGTGTCCCCTCAAACTGTAAATTTATAAATGCCTCATTACCTCTGTCTCTTTTTCTCTTGTTAAACTCATTTCACTGAATTATGCTTGAATAATATCGAACCTTCGAACCTTGATCTTCTTTGTTACCGCTCATATTTCTACTACATCTACTACTATGGAATGTGACAATTCGATTTCTGTGTGGTATGACAACTTATGTGTGAGTATGTACAGAGTTCTACGTTGCTATTGATTGATTGATTGAATTCCTCATCACCTTTATCTCTCCTTTTTCACGCTTATTTCATTGGATTATACTTCTTTCCGAACCCTAATCTTCTCTTATTAGCTCTAATACTTACTTACTTCTACTACTTTTACTACCAATATCAGATTTGAATTAACGATTCTATCTCTCTGGTCTAATATGGTATGGTAGCCTGAACTGACGTACACAGTTCTATGTTACTTACTTACTTACTTACGCCTGTTACCCCCAATGGAGCATAGGCCGCCCACCAGTTTTCTCTAGCCAACTCTGTCCTGGGCTTCTCTCTCCAGTTCTGTCCAATGTTTGTTCATTCCTCTCATATCTTTCTCTATTTCTCGGCGTAATGTATTCTTTGGCCTTCCTCTTTTCCTTTTGCCTTGAGGGTTCCATGTGAGGGCTTGTCTTGTGACGCAGTTAGGTGCTTTTCGTAGTGTGTGTCCTATCCACCAACTCCACCGCTTCTTCCTGATTTCCTTCTTCACTGGAATCTCGTTTGTTCTCTCCCACAGTTCGTTGTTGCTGATGGTGTCTGGCCAACGAATACGAAGTATTTTGCGTAGACAACTGTTAATAAACACTTGTGTCTTCTGGATGATGGCTTTGGTAGTTCTCCATGTTTCCGCTCCATACAGTAGAACTGTCTTGACATTTGTATTGAAAATCCTGATTTCGGTTTTGGTTGAAAGTTGTTTGGGGTTCCAGATATTTTTCAACTGTAGAAATGCAGCCCTCGCTTTGCCAATCCGTGCCCTCACATCTGCATCGGATCCACCTTTCTCGTCGATGATGCTGCCCAGATATGTGAAGGTGGTAACGTCCTCCAAGGTATCTCCATCAAGAGTGATTTGGTTGGTGCATGTTGTGTTGCATCGGAGAATTTTGCTTTTTCCTTTATGTATGTTGAGACCTACTGCTGCAGAGGCTGCTGCTACACTGGTCGTCTTCTCTTGCATTTGTTGTTGAGTGTGCAGTTCTATGTTGTAGTTGACTAAATGATTCATCCACTAGGTAGTAGGCATCTACTACTCAACATGACTTATACTAATAGTAGTCAAATGATTTCATTGCAGAAGCCATAGGAATACGCACATTCAACCCTAATCTAAACATTAGCTAAGATAATTTTAAAGCTTTTTTTTCTTTCTGTCAAAATTTAGAATTTTTTTGTTTATTTTCCTATCGTATCTTATTTATTCATCAGGAATTATTTTTAGCCAATACTAATAATCAATTAGGCATGCAAACACCTGTAATGCATGATAATAATTTGAAATTCCTTTCAAAAAAATGGCCAATTCGTTCAATTTTCAATTGTCTCATTAATCGTTTATCACTGTCGGTATTGATCAATACAACAACATTGAAAAATGTTCATTCAACAGCACAAAACCAATCAATACTATCCCATCCTAATCATGCTGAATCGTTTCATTCATTTGATTGTGCCAAACGTTTATGTCTATTGAATTTATGCCGACTAATTATTAACTTAGATGTGAATATGTATTTGTCAGCTGCGGAACGTGTATTTTACACAATATCTGATCAACACGACAATGATGACGATCTCGATCGCGAGCATGATCATAATCATCATGTCGACCGTCGACAGTATAATGAGTCAGCATCTTCATTGTCACTCGCTGCGTCCACATCACAATTATCAATGTCAAAATTGACTAATGATTGGATATTTTGGCATGAAATAACACGGAAAAGTTTAAATTATCCGGAACGTTTACGAGTTTGGGAATATTCAATATTGAATTCGAATGAAGTGATAAAAAATAAGGGTAATAATAATAATAATAATATTAAGGACAAACATGAACGTAAGTTTTATTTTCTTCTTGTTTTTACCAATTTTTAGACTCATCAATTGTTATCAGTCAGTCAGGCAGTCAGTCAGTTGCAACGTAGAACTTCGTACGTAAGTAAAGTACATCAGTTCATGTTGCCATACCACATTAGCAGAGAGATATAATTGTCAATTCAAATCCAATAGTAGTAGAGGTAGTAAAGGTATTAGATGAAATCGGAGAAGTTAGGATTAGAAGATATCATTCAAGAAGTATGATTCAATGAGATAAGTTAAGAAAGTCAAAACTAAAGGTGTTGAAGAATCAAGAAGATTAGGATTTGAGAGAACACAAAGAATAAATGCACCAGCGCCATTGCAAACGATCTTCAGTCATGTCATTCAGAATCTCCAACCATCGACTACTATCATCTCGCGGACCCCAACCACGTAGCCTACATCTACCAACATGACTCAGTCCACTTGTCAGTGAGTTCATGGACTGCTGCCATATTTTGGTCTGGCCACTCCTAGTTTTCTTCCAACCTATTCCTACACTACAAAACAAAGCTCGTCGAGGCCGTCGGTGGTTAGGCATTCGCAGCACATGTCCCAACCACCTCAACCTCTGGACTAGTGATCCGGCATCCAAAGGTAATGATTCATGCTGAATGATTCTCGATTTCAATGCAAAAACAACCATCTACATAACACTATCATGTAAAATCATAAAAGGTACTCATTAGTGACTAGCTTCATGAGAAGCCGTGACCAGTCGAGTTCAACGCTGTCAGATGGAGGCAGTAACTACCAAAGACATAAGGGTAAGGTTACTCAAAACCTTAGATTGGTAAAAGTTCGACATTAACATCGTTGGATGCCAGCTCATTGTTGTAGAGGTTAAGCTTACGCATGCAAGACCGAAGATCCTTTGTTCGATTCCTGTGAGTAGCAGGAGTCATAGATCCGTACTGCTAATAATGAGTCGCATACCAAGACGAAATGGCGGTCCAATGCTTCCAGGATTCTAATGTTGGTCTAACGAGTACTGAATCACGAGTTTAACGTATAACAACTACTCTTTATTATATCAATTAAAAAAATTATCGTACACTAAAATAATCAAAATTAACCGAATCACTATAAAAAAATTCCAAACCTAGCTAGAATACAACTTTATCGATGCAATGAAGTGAGTGATGAGACAATAAACAAATTAACCAACCATAAACAGATATGTTCGTTAGGACTGATTTAACAAACAAACCAGAAAATATGACATAAACATTGATTTTAAACCAGAAGAACTCATTTTAATTTAGTTAATTTATTTGTTTATTGGATCATTGTGTGTATGCAGGTTCGTGTGTGTGTGTGTGTGTGTGTGAGTGGCGGACTACGACCTGATTAGATGGATCACAAAAACAACAGCTTTGCCAACCAACCAACTGATCAATCAATTAATGAATGCTTTTGACAAATGATACGATACAATCTATTTTTTGACAGATTAATTTTTTGGAAAATAATTTAAAAAGAATATTCAAGGTAAATTGATATGTATATGAAGGAGGGGATTAGTAGGTATAGTAGTTGAATCCACAATTGGTGTTTCATTCTATTTTAAGATTAATCATCTGTGAAGATAGTAAAGTTAGAATTTTTAAATATAAATGTTAAGACTGTTCTATTTTATGGAGCGGAAATTCGAAGAACTACGAAAATCATCATCCAGAAGATACAAGTGTCTACTTAAGGTATTGAGGATTCGTTGACCAGACACCATCAACGACAATCTACAATGGGAAAGATCAAACCAGATTGCAGCTGAGTAAGAAATTAGGAAAAAGCTTCAGAGGTGGGTTTGACACACAATAAGGAAAGCATACACCTGAGTCACGAGGTAAGCCCTCACTTGGAATCCTCAATGCCAAAGGAAAAGAGGAAGACCAAAGAACTCATTCCACACCCAGAATTGGAAGCAGACACTACAGGGAATGTACAGCAGTTGTATAGAACTGGAAAGGAAGGCTCAGGGCAGAGTAGATTGGAGAATGCTAGTCAGCAGCCTATGCTCCATAGGGAATAACAGGCGTAAGTAAGTAATCTGTAGATACGATTCCCACACCTCACTACTGACATTCACTTCAACAGATTCTGATGAAAAATTCAAATATTGACAACAACTGTTAAAAAACTGAAATGCCAGAAATTAGAAAATATTCCATATAAGTAGTTTGTGCAGATGATTGAATTTTACTGTTCACATCATGAATTGACTTGAGTTAAATAATCATGTTAAATAATCAACATCATACGGAGTTCTTATGATGGATTCAACTGCAAAATCGTGGACGGAGGACAGCTGACAGATTCGTTCTAGGTGCGAAACCGGTTTCAGGCAAGGTTGCTTACTCTCAACCTTTCTCTTTCTCCTGGTCATCCATCGACTGTATTATCAAAAAGTCAGCATCTGGAGGGAAGCACGGTATTCAGTGGATAGTTAGGACGCAGCTGGACGATCTGGACTTCGCAGATTACCTGGCTCTTCTATTGCAAACGCAGCAACAAATACAAGAGAAGACAACCAGTGTAGCAGCAGACTCTGTAGCAGTGGGTCTCAACATAAATAAAGGAAAAAGTAAGATTCTACGATACAACACAATATTCGCCAATCAAATCACTTCTGATAAAGATTCTTTGGAGGACGTTAACACCTTTACATATCTGGGCAGCATCATCGACAATCAAGGTCGATCCGATGCAGATGTGAGGGTGCGGATTGGTAAAGCAAGGTCTGCGTTTCTACAGTTGAAAAATATCTGGAAATCCAAACAAATATCAATCAACACCAAAATCAGAATCTTCAATACAAATGTGAAGACAGATCTACTGTATGGAGTGGAAACATGGAGAACTACCACAGCCATCATCCAGAAGATGCAAGTATTTATGAACAGTTGTCTACACAAAATACTTCAGATTCGTTGGTCAGACACCATCAGCAACAACCTACTGTGGGAGAGAACAAACGAGATTGCAGTGGAGGAGGAAATCAGGAAGAATCGGTTGAAGTGGATAAGATACACACTATGAAAGGCACCTAACTGCGTCACAAGATAAGCCCTCACATGGAACCTTCAATGTCAAAGGAAAAGAGGAAGGTCAAGGAACACAATACGATGAGAAATAGAGAAAGATATGAGAAGAATGAACAAAAATCGGACAGAGCTAAAAAGGGAAGCCGAGGACAGAGTAGGTTGGAGAAAACTGGTGGTTTGCCTATGCTCGATTGGGGGTGACAGGCGTAAGTAAGTAAGTAAGTAAGTAATCATGGAGCAGTTCCACTACGAACATTTAAAAAAAATGAAATTACAAACTATCCATGGCTTTCTACTTCTCCATATGAATACAAGTAAGATAAAGTTTTTCAATGAATACAATCGAAGCATTTACACACTCTAAATCGCTGTTTTTAAACCAGAAGAGATGGCAGTTGGTGAAACCATGATGTCACAAATTTTTATTGCTGCCTCCCTCCTCCAAAAAAAAATAGAAAGAAATAGATACAACTTAACTACAACTAGCCATTTGCATATTCTGTACTAATTATTATGATTAGACTATTTTTCACAAGAGAAAAGAGGAAAAGAATGTTTCTATCGGGTTTATTTTTTCGTTCTCCGTTTCGTTAGCCTTCTAAAAAAAACGCGTCTTATTTTCTTATGGCTTTATTTTTGGATTATTGGTTTTTTTTCTATGCAGTCCGCCATTTTTAAAATTTATTTCTGCGCCAAACAGACATTCCATTCGTATTGATTTGTCATTGATAAGTTAATATAATTATTTAGCTTTCATTTTTAAAAAAAGAGGCATTAAATTTAGATATTCAGATATGTTTCAATATTTATTTTCAACACTTATTCAATGTTGAATGTAATTTGTTTTAGTGGTTGTTGTTGTTGTTTGAATTTTCTCATTTGATTGTTAAGAGACTGTATTTGATCAGTCTCATTTAGCATCCTGTGCATCTTGTATTCGATTGTCAGTAGGATACAAGTATAATCGAAGCAGAGATTGGATAATGGTTCGCAGTGGAATCTATAGGATGTAAGTTTCTTGCTATTTAGGACTGGTCAGTTGGATGTATTTGAATCTCACAGAGTTGATATTCACTTCAACACACGAACCCACTATATATCTTTACTTAGTATGTTTGTAACCTAATGGCTACATCGAGGTATTACGGGTTTGTTAAGATCGCTAAGTTACACATTTTAAATCATGAATCAATCAGTGTTAGACCACCATTAGAAATCTGGAAGCAATGAACGGCCGTTTCATCCTAGCATGGGTCTCATCGGCAGTGCACATCCACTACTCCTGCACCTCACAGGATTCAAACCCAGGATCTTCGATCTAGCACAAGAACGCCTAACCTCCGTACCACTGAACCGGTATCTAATGGTGTTAATGTCTAACTTCGATCAATCCAAGGGCTTGCGCAACCGTCCAGTGCTTCCAGGTTTCGAATGGTGATCTAACATTGATCGATTCATAATTTCAAATGTGTAACATAAGTATAAATGGTTTATCGATTACTACTCTAGTTAGTTCAGTCATAGAGAAAATAATTAATGGCGTAGATATCTAAGGCAGTTCTAAAAATTTCTTTCTGATTACAAAAATTTGGCAGATTGTATCATAATTTTCCTATTGATACCTCTACACCTCTAGTCTTCATTTCTTTTACAAAAATGTTTACATTGGAATAAATTATCATAAACATGAATCGAATTAAAAATTCCAACAGTAATTATTAGAATATCCTTAAACAAAACTTAAAATTCAATATTCAATGATGACTAAGCACAAATTGAACATTTTTCAAAGTTCAATTGAGCAGTTGTAATTTTTTCTTCAGCGATGAAAATAAGGTCATGTAAAATCATTGCCAACATGATTGACAGTCCATTGACGTTGGAATCATTCAAAAAAAAACCCAACTTGTTGTCTAGACATCACCATCTTTAGTTTAAATCAAATATTTCTAAAAATAAACATGTGGGATC